AAAAAAAAATTCAGATTTTGGCTTCCTATGGTCTGCATGATAGCTGTAGTCTGTTTTTGTTTGTTAGTTTAGTCTTGAACAAATAACCTCAGCCCTTATAGTCACATTCAATTAGAATCACCTCCCAGACGAACAGACTGGCTTACATTACATGCTGGTTTACTGTTCTGGTGACACTCTAACATCAGTAGTCAGTTTTTAAAAAAACAACTGCCCAGCCCTGTCCACTGGGGGAGGGGGTCCTCTCAACTGTTACATGTTTGTTAAACAGTACATTGGTAATAATCCAAGAAACCAGGTTCCGCTTTCCTGACATTTCCCGGTTTCCCTCTAAGTAAACAAAAATAGATTCCTTCTCTCTCCCACCTGCCCCCCTTCTCCTTCAATTTTTCACGGGGTACAGCACCATCTCAGACCACTCTACTTTGGGAATTAGATGTCTGCTACAGTCTAAAGGGTAGAGCATGAGGCTGCTTACGTTTCTTTAAGAAATTAGGCCGCTCGCCTTCCAGCGATGCCTAAGATATTATTTTGATCTCCCTGCAAGGCGCTGAGGCCCTCTAATTGCAAGGCAGCCGCATCTCCAATCTTCCTTTCCACTCCATTAAGGTGAAGGCAGCTTCTTTTCTGAAAACAATAAGTACCTTGCACGGTGGACCACCAGGTGGCGCTCGAGGTCCATGGCGTAGCGCGGCGGGGCGTGGTCAGTGAGTGAGCGCAGCTGTGCACGCGCGCGCGCGTGTCTTCTCGGCCCGCCCTGGAGACCTGCCCTCTGCTAAAATAGTCCCAACGTCCCTACAGTTCTGGAAGCCCTAAATGAGGGGGCTTGCGTTCACTAAAGAGTTTTCCTCTATGTTGTTTGTGTTTTACTTAGTCATTTGACATAATTTAGCTCGAAAGATCTAAACACGTATTCAATATTATCACCCAAGTTTCTCCTAAGGATTCCCGGTGGTACCAGGTGTTAAGCGTCTGTATGCTAACCCCAAGGTCAGTGGTTCAACCTCACCGGCTGCTCTGTGAGAGCAAGATGAGACTTTCTGTTTCCGTGAAGATTTACAGGCTTGGAAACTCTACATGGGACACCCTGACTCGGAATAGACTCAAGAGCAGAGGGTTTTTTTATGGGAAGCTGTCGGAGTGTGGGTTCTAAGAAGCTAGGTACCACGAGGCTGGCGGGACTATTGCTTTGTCCCGGCAAAAGGATCTAAAGAGAACACCTGCTCGCTGAGGTCTATACCAATTAGGCTCCGCCATTTCTTGTCTCTTTGCTAGATTGACCTACCATTTCTCCTCCTAGTAGATTAACATTTTCTGCAATAAAATATTTCGTTTTGTAACTTCAAGTGCATTCCTTTGACTTCATTAAAATGGTGAACCGCCTAGCTAGACAAGCAGCACACTGAGGGTGTTTGTGTCCAACCATCCACCCGAGGCGTTACACGGACTCAGAGATGAGTGAGTAAGGGCTGGAGGATGGGCTCAATCTCTTCTGTGAGGGCAGCCACCATAGCAGCGGTTAAGTACATCAGTTGCAAAGCTTGGCTGCCTGTGGTTCCCACGCAATACAATGCACTGGCCCATGGGGCTGTCTAGGCTGCAGTCCTGATGAGAGCAAAGCACCAGGCTTTTCTCCTGCAGAACTGCTGGGGGGTTCAAACCGCTAAGCTTTTAGTTAGTAGTCAAGTGCTTAACTGTTGCACCACCAGGATCTAGTTCAAATCCAAGCGACTTCACTTGCTAACTATGAAACTTTGGGCGAGATATGCATGTCCTTAAAAAAAAAAAAAAGTATGTACATTGTGCCAAATAGAGATAAAACTACCTCCTTGAGTGGTTTTGAGATTAAATAAACTGGTCCATGAAGAGTACTTAGAAAAATTCTTGATACCTAGAAAAATGCACAGTAAATATGAACTTTATATTACTGATTTCACTATCAGTAGATTATACCCCTTATTATATCCATGTCTTTCTAAAACATTCTGCCCAGCACTCATTTTTCCTTACTTGGTTCATTGTAATAATTCAAGTTAAAATAAAATAACCACAGATGGGCTTTCCAGGTGTCCTTGGATGATCATTTCCACTACCTTCATGTCTATTTCATATTGGTTTTAATTTGCTTTCGTTGTCTGCTTTTCTGTCCTGATGCTATTTCTGACTAAGCATAGAGCACTGGGAGGCAGCATCACCCACCATGCACTCTGTGCCCAGTCATTAGCAGATGGACAAGGGTTTTACCACTCCGCTTCAACACAGATCGACTCATATCCTTAGCCTTGATTGTTGTGAACTTCTAGATATTTTATCTTTAAATTTCCCAAAAGGTAAACGCTCCTTTATAAAGCATAAACCAATATTAACATTCATGTCTTATGGTTATCATTTTATTGATGTTCAAATTTCCCCGATGGCTTTATATTTTTAAAGTGAAATTCATTACAGCGATCGGTTGATAACATCCCTTACCTATTTTGTTGCTGCTGAAGAAACTTAGCACATGGACTTTTTCATTTTGTTCTTTAATGGTTCTTAATAGTCTTAATTTTGCTGATTGACTTCTGCATTGTGGTTGAATAAGTTATTTTACTTTCTGTATGTTCTGTATATTGTTCTATGACCTCGGAGCATATAAGATTGGGATTGGATATTTTTTCTGAGGGGGGATCCTCTATTTCATAATAAGGACTACGCAAAAATTGACTGTCTCAGAAACCGTAAGAAGCAGTTCTCGCCTGTCATATAGTATTGCGCTGAGTTGGAATAGACTTGAGGACGTTGGGTTTCTGGTGTTCAGCAGTCTTTAAAAGCAAGCGTCTCTTTCTCTCTCTCTGATGATCACCCTCTACAGCCATCAATTCATTTTACATCTCAACTGGTGTTATTTTTAATTTTAGCATACCTTCATTTCTTACTGGATTATTACTGTAAGTAATCATTTGTGTAGGAATAGTTAAAGGGAAAATACTTATCCTTTTTATTTTATAAATTAAAAAATAGAGTGTGCTTAGTAGGGAAAAAACTTTTTTAGTAAAAAAGAGAACAAATGGTAGACACCTGAAGATCTAATATTTATACACATCGTATCTGTTTTTCAGTACAAATTATTTACAGGAAATTGTGGACATAATGTTCCCATTATCCCTAAGTACAAAAACATGTGTGTTTCCTTCAAAGCTATTCAGACTTGGAAGTTATTCTCCTGGTGCTTGAACACTGGCAGCATCCTAAGCAGAGCGTCCAGCTTCTTCAAGGCCTTGCTACTGTCTTGTGCACAGGAGACACTTGCCCGAGACTGGACAGGACCCACTTCTCACTGCTGCTCTGCCTCAGTGTCCCATTCTCCATTTTGATTTGTTTTTGAAAGTGTCGACCACAGTATTTGCAAGTGGACTTGGATTTCTGTACCAGGTTGGTTGCTCTTTTACAAGTCTGGGATGTTTTTATAATTGTGTATCTTATTGGGAATTAGCAAAATCATTGAGAAATATGAGCAGAAAATGTTTCCACTCACACCATCCTTGGTTTGGAAATGAACAAGAAGTTTGCATCCTTTTTCTCCTGAAAAATGCAAAGCATTGATCTATGCAGCACCTCACTGAAAATACTCCTGCATAGATTACCAATGGACGATACAAAACATAGGGGTATAATTATTTTCTTCCTGAGTGTCTAACACGGTTTTACAAATAATATAATTTGATTTCAAAATACGATGCCCCATGTTAATAAGCAGAGGGTTAACTTGTGAACAAGCATTTGCAGTTGAGAGCAATGGAAGGTGTTAGCTTTCTGCAAGCACTTCAGAGAGCTGGGCTGTGGCTGCAGCCTTCTTTACATGTGGTTGGAATGAGTTCTTCTATGGTCGCTGGGTGGGCGTCACTTTTGTTTTTTTATTCTGAAGGAGCCATTTGACCACTTCTTGTTGGTCAAAAGCCCAGGCAGGTTTACTAAGTAGACACACGCCAAAATAAGCACCTCGGTGGCTGTGGAGCCTGTTCAGCCTCATAATGACGCTGGAGGACAAAAAGGAACTGTCTTCTAGTTTCCAGTGCTGGAGAGCTGTACCAATCCAGATGGCCGCATCTTGCGCTCCTGGCTGGTGGGTGCAAACTGCAAACCGCCAGGGTAGCAGCCAAGAGCTGAACCACCGCACCACCGCACTGCGAGGGACTTCCAAACCATTTCCCCGAGCCTTAAAATTGGCCACCCCCGCTATAGCCACAGCCTGTGCTTTACCTTATGAGCATGATTTTCCAGCAACTTTTTATGTTTTCTGTCTCCCGGGGAGCCCATGTTCACAAATAGTCCCGTTAGGCCCTCTTCGCTTGTTGTCACTGAGAATTATGTGCTATCTTTTTCCACTTAAAATTATTTATTTGTTCTCTTTATGTCACACGTACAGGGGAAATGGCCTGGAGCCCAAGAATCTTGCCTTATTTGTTGATCATTCAGATTCATCTAGAATTTGTGGTACACAATCATAGTATCCATAATTGATGACAAATTCGTTTTCTGTTTCCTGATTCATGCACATAGGAATTGATGGGGATTCCTTTTCTTGCGGATGGGTCGAAGGTCTTGTTGCCGTGTTTCTTCTTGTTGCCACTGAGTGATCTCAGCTCATCGTGCCATCACGGATGTCAGGTGAGAACTGTGCTCTGTTAGGTTCTCAGTGGGGATGTCCCTGCAGTAGATTGCCAGGGCTTCCTTCCGAGGGGAACCGTCTAGCCTTTGGGGTTACTAGATAAGCATGGTAACCACTTGGACTGTACAGAGAGTCTGCTGTGAATCTTGAAAGCTCAAATTCTTCCCTATCAGTGATTTCCACAGAGCATATGATGCATGTCGAACAATAAAGAGACATCAACCAATGGGAAGCAGACGCCAGTGAGCTGCTGCCCAACGGCAGCTCCCAGGTAAATAGAGGGTGCTGAGATCACTACCTAGCTGAGTGGAAACAGGACAAGCAAGACCAAGAAAAGCAGCCTAGCAGGCCTGCTTTTGCTCTGTTTAGTGTGGCGAAGCCTTTCGGGTTTCTTGGTCCACAGAGTCCTATTTTCTCCTAGTTCTCTTTTTGTCTTTGGTACAAGTGCCTATTCATGACCCGATCTTCCGGATCAGCCACACAGCCAGAACTAGAGGGCAGAACACATCCTGCGCTGCACAGATAATCTTCTTGTTCCTGCCACGTCAAAACCAACTCATGGTGACTCCGTGTGTCAGGAGTCTTCTAGCCTTCTTTCTTCTTTTCTGTCCAAGGCATGTCATCAGTTTTAATTATTTTTTCTTATTTTATCTTTAGTAGTCTTGTTGGTATATACTTCACATATTATACAATTCAATAATTTAAATATCTTACGTAAGAGTTGTGCAATCATTATCACAATCAATTTTAAAGCATTTTCTTGATTGTTGTACTTATTTCCCTCCAGCCCCCACCAGCATAGTTCTAAGAAACTATTAATCCAGTTACTTTCTCTATAGATTTGCCTATCCTGGAATTTACATAACAAAACTCTTACAATGCCTTTCCCCTGCCCAACAATAAAATAAAACACAGAAAAATCTCCATCCAAAAAAAGTAGAATATACTGAAGCCTAAAACAAAATAAAAATTGATCAAATGGGATCAAATTGATCAAAAGATAAGCTGTTAATTTTTAACGACTACATCTGTATTAATCCACTTTGCAATGCCCTCTCACTCCATGGGTGACAATGCAGCTGCCAAGATGCATGGAACTACACTAGTGCCCTGAGCTGGAGTAGTCAGGTGGAGACCCGTCAGCACTGAGATGCTAACAATGCCACTGGATCCATAAGACTTCCTACCCACTGGCCTGTGATCTTCCTGCATTTGGCATCATTGCATGTGTTTCATGAATCTGAAGAGGACTTTAGAGATTGGTATTGAACATATGGGCTAGTATTGGACTTAGGGACTTGATCTGGACTGGGCTGGGATATTTTCTTAATGTACAATTACTCTCTATATAAAACTCTTTCTTATATACATCTGAGTGTCTAGGAATTTGTTTGTCTAGTCTACCCAGACTGACACAGGAGCTCAATCCGTGGAAAAACTAACAAAAATTCCAATTATGCTGCATTGTACTATTTAATGTAAATGAGATATAGGCATCATGCTCTTTATGCAATAATTCAACCCCACCCCATCCCCGCCCAGTACCTTGACTGAGTCACAAGATGATGTAGTAAAGATAACCTGGGAACAGGTGGAGAAAATCCTACCATGTTGTTCTGTGACTAGAATTCACACTATAGGTTTTGAATATTCAATAAAGCCTTTTTTGGTGATATTTAATAAAAATGTAATTTGTGAATTTAATATGAATTCATCTTCATTACAGAATATTAATAGTACACAATCAAAATGAAACAAAATAGAACAAACACCCCCAAATGATTTATTTCCCTACATGCTTTCTCCCTGGTTCTTTAAATAGAGTTGATGTACTTCCGCTCATAAACCTAGCATATTTCTCCCACAGTTATTTAGCTTGAATATTAGATTACTCCTGCTGTTGTTTCTTTGATTTACAAATTTCATGTTTCACCTACTAATCCTAAGGGCTTTTCTGTGTTTGGGGAAGCCATTGGGTTTTCCCTTGTGTACTCTCTCATGCAAGTATAGCAGGGAACATATTAACATATTCATGAACTAGTATAATCATACATGAGTTTTTGGCATGTAATATTAAAGAGACAAAAAATGCTCAATATAGTCCTTTTGTAATTTCTTTTGTTACTAAACAGCTCACTGTATGCAATAATTGAAGAACCTCACATCATCTTTTTAATGTAGAAGTCCCTTGTTGTTTCCAAAAGTGTTGATAAAAATTTACGTTTAGCTGTTTATAGCTATATTTTTCATCTATTTTACCATGTTCTGCATTATAAAGTGGACTGCACTAATGTCTCTTTGTCAAGAAGTTCATTAACATGAGACTCGGGTTTTTCATAATCTTAATGAGTAAGGAAGTTGTCAATGATATTTTCATGATGATAAATCTGGATAGCAATGCTGAGCTAAGAGCGACGACATTTGAAATTTTCTGTCGACACACATATCAAATGGTTTCCTTGACTAATTGTCACACAGCATCCAAATGTCCCCAAGGACATTCTAATAATGCACACTGTTAGAAGTTGTTTCAAGCCTCCAGCCCCAATTTCACATTTCTTCTTACTAAATCCAAATGTCAATATTTGTGAAATACAAATAACATGAAAATTATACGAACTTTATTGCCTATTTATTCAGGTTTATCTTTATATGCATTTAGTATGCATTCTAAATACGTAATCACCAGACATTTGCTTCCTTGTTAATTATACTGTAATGATAGTGCTATAATAACAAAAGCAAAGAAAAAATATTTAGAAGCAGTAATAAGGATATAATTAGAGAATGAACTGGTGGCTCTATCAAACAGAATGCTTTATAAAGACTGTCAATGCAACTAAGCTTTCAGTGATGACCCAAGCCAAACTGGAAAATATTGTGGATACTTCTCGAATATTGCTAGTGCAGGTAGCTCACTTACTTGTAGTCGTTGCAATGTTATATGACAATTAAATTGAAAGAATAAATTGATACATATGTTTGAAGGGGCTTTTAAAAGTTTGCGGAGAAATTCTATCTTTTCATGTAAATTTTCCCACAAAATTTTTGCAGCTTCCACATATTGTACTGCTCTGATGTGTCCAGAGGCTTTTGGTCTCTCGAACTCAATAAAGGACTCACGGACCACGAAGAAAGGACAAGCAGACAGCAAGGCTTATTGGGAAAGGAAAAGAAAGCACCTGGCCCAGCAGGCTGGCTCTGGAGTGAGTCGCTGTGGAGTGAACTATGTCTAGGAGCTCTTATCAGAGGTTAGGTACTTGGCATGTCTGCATCTCCATGTTCTGAATGGACCATCCAGGGACTGGTCCTAACTCTTAAGTCAAATCATAAACACAGTATGCTCTCCTCTTGCCTGCATCGTGCCTGGGCATGGACAGGGAAGTACACAAGCAAAGATCTGCAAGGAGGCTTGGGTTTGCTGACTTTGGAGTTTAGAATCAGTCAAGGGGCTCTGTTGTCTGCAGATGTAAGAGCGGATGGTCTCAGGCTCTTGGGATCACCCTTCCAGCTATCCTGGCACTTCCAATGCTTCTTGCCACTCAGAACTTTTCCCCTCATTCTGCCTGAAGACCGTTCTCTTATCTCTCAGTATTATATATTAATACATGGGGAGTCCCTGGGTGATTAAGTTATAGACTGCCAGGTGAAAGATGGGTGGTTTAAGTCCACTCATAAAGTCCTCTGAAAACAGGTTTGATGATGTGCTTCCCACAGATGACAGCCTTGAAAACCCTGTAGAGCACCATTCTCTGCATATTTTGGGTCTCCATGAATCGAAATCAACTTGAAAGCAACTAACAACAAAACATATTACCAAAACCCAAACCAAATTCACTAATGCTGTTCATGCTGACTCACAGTTACTCTGTGAATTTTTGAGATTACAACTCTTTACAAGAGCAGAAAAGCTGTTCTGCCAACAATATATTCATATTCATTTATGCATGAATTCTATCACCATCGGACAAATATATTACTTAACAAATGGTGCAGAAGTATTTCACTATATTATCAAACAAGTAAAACTTTACCTGCGTGTCTAAGTTGAGCATGAGCCCCCGAGTCTAAAGACCCAGGACTGTGTGACAATTCCCCCTGTACAATATGTGGATCAAATAATAGCATTTAAAAAACGACTGGAACAAATTGTCTACAAACAGAATCATAAATTTCAACTATATAAAGGTACAAAATTGACATACAAATGCCTATGTTCCAATTTCCTATTTATATTGTAAGGAAAATCCTAATAGGGAATTTTAAGCTTTGGAAAAGAAACCCACTGCGTCACCCTGTGTACTTCCTCATTCCAAGAACCGCCCCACCCACCCTCACCCCCAATCTGCTTCCTCCTTTACTAAGGACCACATCTGCATTAGAAATCCCTGCCTCTCCCCCTTCTGCGACCTTGCTCATTCAAATAAAGTATAAAAGCTACACTCGCCCAACATTCAGGCCCAGATCTCCTGAAATGCTAGCTCTCCTATGAGTCGCCGGCTAATGATGTTTTCCTCTTTAAAGAGTGCCACCTGGCCATTCCCAAGTCACAGTTTTGCTGTTACGATATGAAGGAAAAAATAGAGACCCCAAAGAAATTAGCTCTTTTATAGCACAGGCCAAAAAAAGGGAGGGACAATAGGATAAAATATGTGTCCTTAGTCCAGGTTAGTGTGTTGCCTCAAGGTCAGTGTGCAGTTATCGATAGCACATTCCCATTGCCTAACTACAGCAGTAGGCTGAATTCCCTTTTGGATAATGTTAGCTAGTCAGAAACTGGCAAGGGGAGAAAGGTGATCAGTGGAAAGAGACAGGCAGTAATCTTAAACACAAAAGAGGTGGACACAGGCCTCCACATACATGTCTCCAGCACAAAGGGAGAGGAAGGTCAAATAGGGTACGTTTCCTTATCAATGGAAAAGACAGTTAATGAAAAGATCCGGTGGAGAAAGACAAGATATCTACACTGCCCCCACAATGGCTGAATAGTTTAGGATCTGAGACAAGGCTGCAGCATGACGTCTGCAGTGCTGGAATGAGCCGACATGAAAGGGGACAGGGCACGATGGAGGAGCAGCCAATAGTAGAAGTGTAGTAGCTCTAGGAAAAGCTTCAACAGCCTTGACAAGAGTGAAGCCATTTTGAGCTGACAAAAGCCATTATGAACTATAAATGAATTAGCTGATATTAGGGAGGCAGGTTGTGCTGACAAGTGCAACGGACTGTACCGAAGGAAATGTATGTTCAAAAGGCTTGGAAGAACAACTAGAGCGATTATTGTTCAACAATAATTATTGTTGTTTGACTAAGCAGTTATTGTTTGACTAAGAATGGCTAGCCACAATATTCTGCTTCTGTACTCTGCTTGCTTGCATACCTGTACATTGCAAAAGTATTAAAACCTTTGGAAAAGTGAACGAGGTATGCTCAGTCTCTGCTCAAGAGAGCTGACAGTCCCTGTGCAGGTAATAAAACTTTTTCTTTTGAACTTGTCGGCGGTCTGGGTTGTTTTCTTTATGGGAATGGACAGTAGGCTACAACAGAAGACCCCCCCAGAAAGCCAGCCTTTGGTGGGAGGTCCACTGTTAACCAATATAAGGTCCAGCATTACATTTTCCCAGACCTTTAAGACTACTTAAGGGCCCTTTGAACTTCTCTTCCAAAGTATCCCCCTTCAAATAAACTCATTCTTTGTTCAAACGTTTTCTTTGACTACTGTCTGAATTATGTCCTTCACCTGAAACCTGAAGCGGGGCAAGAACCAAGGAGTGGAGAGGCTTGAAACGCTGAGCCTCTTCCTGGTAACGGAGAACTAATTCCCTAGCAGATTCTATTACAATTTAAAATCTGCAAGAAACAACAAATTCTATTCTTCAAATAAATGTCAAATGAACTCGATTGACATATTCCTTTCACCAAAAATTTCTATCATCATAAACATAGTCTCTGTTTATAAAAAATAAGAAAAAGTATAGACACTTTTACGATTAAGAAGAAAATAAATATATTTGGTTATTTTGAAAAAATATAGAGGTATACTGTTGTAACTAGGTTGGGGCTGGAGGTTTCAAAGCCCTCCACACTTTGTTCTGATCCCATTCCAGCAGTTCTCAACTTGTGGGTCGTGACCCCTTTGGGGTTCGAATGGCCCTTTCAAGGGGTCGCCTAATTCATAACAGCAGCAAAATGACAGTTATGAAGTAGCAATGAAAAATAATTTTATGGTTGGGGGGGCGGGTTCGTCACCACAACATGAGAAACAGTATTAAAGGGTTGTGGCATTAGGAAGGTTGAGAATCACATTAGCCAGAAAATATTCAGTCGAGACAGCATTCAGGCCTTGGTGAGAGACAAGGTTTGGACAGGCACCCACGAGTTTCCATATGCTTCATATGTAGGGCTGATGGGGCTCTAGCTAATCAGAAGGGAAAACGGGATGCAGAGTTGTTAGGGGTTAGTCTTCTACATGCCAAGGCCTCCCCCATACAGGAAGTTGGAAGCCAATGAAGGCTAAAGGACATGTTCCAAGTCAGGCCCTGAGCCAGGGGTGTAGTATATCTGGATTGGCCCAACTAGGCCAGAGGGGCTTCATTCAGCCAGTGGGGTCAACCTGTACTGTAAACCACACCTCCAAGCTGAAGGCCCCCAAAGGCTGGAACCTGGAGACTACCTCCCTCTTTTTCCAGTTGCTCCTCGGCCTTGCACTTGGCCATGCTGCAGTCTCTATTTCTTGGGCCTCAGGCCAAGACGTGTGACTGTGCAATGCCCTGAGGGTGCTGGTGTTGAGTTACTGTAAAGCCTGAAACGTGTGTCCTGTATAAAAACCCGCCTGGATCACAAACTAGGCTTCAGCGTGAATTCTTTCTTGTGCGAAGCCAAGCACTGAGGCATTTCCCACCCTGAGAAACCTAACCATCACCTTTTTAATCTTGCTAATTGTGGACCTTCTACCATTGGCTGGCTCTCTGGGAGGTCATCTACTTTTGGCTTGTTTTCTGAAGGGTACCTTCCCTTTCCGGGTACACGCACCCCAGAATTCACTGTGGGAGGGGGCTATTCAACCTTTGTGGAGGTAGTGTGAATATCCACACCTTTTCACAGTCTCCTGCTCTATTATTAAAGAATTGTGTTTTCACTGCCTTTACCTTCCTTTGTGCTGGGAAGCTAGGGAAATGTGACTTCACCTATCATTTGTGCTGGACATTTCTTCTACTGCCAGCACCTTCCCTTTGCTGCCTCTGCACAGCGAGCACTCTAAATAGCAGGAGTCTTGGTGTTCACGTGGCCAGCAGTCTGACTCCAGCAGACAGTCTATGAGAGAGAGATGAGATCTTCTTCTCCTGTAAACCTTCACAGCCTCAGAAACCCTGAGAGCAGTTCTACTTTGTCCTATGAATCAGATTTGACTTGACGCTTGGTTGGTTAGCTCTGTAATGGTAGTAATATTTTAGTTATGTTTTATTATTACTAAGAGACTTTGGAAATTTTTAAAATCTTTCCTAGTCTTTAATACCAATATAGAACCACTTAAATTTTTCTAAATAATAAGTCTTAATTTATAGTAGTAAAGTCTAATTTATAGCAGTTCCTTTTATTTACTTATTTTTTTAGGAAGCCTGTGAACATGTGAATAATAGAACAAGCCTTTTATGGTATCCCTTTCTTGTCCAAATTCATCCCCATTGTTCATGAGTTCAGAGTTGTTTTGCTCAGTATCGGTTATATTCTTTCACTCCTTTCTCCTTTCAGAACAAGTTTTATTTAAAACATGTATAAGGTATATGTGAATGTGATTACTGCAGTATGCCAGGCGGAATAAAAATAAATGTGTTCTGAATACAGGGTCTTTGACATCAGCGGGGATGGTTCTAAATTGCTCTTGAAGACGAGGGAAAGGAGAGCTATAGAATTCCTCATCTTGGACAATTATGGTAGTCATTGATCCTTTTGAATCATGAGGTCTGTACAATAAAATTCCTGATGGAGAAAAGAGGCAAACCACACGGAAGATAAAAATATACTGAGTTGGAAACAATAAAGGGGCAAAAACAACTGATGAGCTTTTTTTCTTCCTCTGTTACTGGAATTAGGTTCTTGTCTTACTGAGAGAAGATTTACTTTTGGAATACATCGAGCATCAGAAGACATGAGGAAGACAAACTTACCCAGCCACCTGGACTCAGTACTTTCTGTGCCCTGCATATAGGTCCAGCTTTTGAAAAGGTTCCAGCAAAATAGAGTCTCAGGAACTTCAGTTGGGGCAGCAAAGGGTTCTGGGACATGTAGTCCTGCCATGGGCTCTTCACAGGAGCTTTCTAAATCTCCACCTTCACTCCCTTAATCTGTCTCACTTATGTCCATAACAGCATGTCAGGACTACTTTTACCAGAATCCCCCACCCTGTCTCAAGCCCTATGAAAACTGACCAAGGAATGTATTATTCTTCTCATTTTACAGCTTTGATATTCAACTAAGGAATTGAGCTGAACCAAGCTGATAAGATTAATACAAACAGAGGAGAGTCAAGGGAAATAGAGGAAAGAGCTGGGAGGAAAAGGGCATTTATAGAGGTCTAGATAAAGACATGTACATATGCACATATATTTATA